CCCTCCCTCCCTCCCTCCCCTCCTCTTCCCTGACCCAAGGGAAAAGAAGGGCTATCGCCAGGCTCAAGTTGGTCTGGGCCTCCAAGAGACGGCCCATATGGCTTTTGAGGTGGCAGCGGGCTACGTTGAGAAGGAGTTTGGCCTGCTCGAGTTGGAGGAAGGGAGGGAGGGCGGGAGGGAGGAGGCGCGAAAAAGGGACGTCGTCTTCCTCCCCTTCTTCCCCCACCGCCCCTCCTTCCCCACCGTCGCAGTGTGCGAGGTCATAAAGTACATCCACCAGGCGGTTGTCTGCATTTACATCCGCTACCGTGCCGGCGCGAGGCTGCAATTGCCGTTTACGAGACGCGGCGCCCCCGTTCGGCTCTTTCTGGCGGCCACGGGCCCGGGCAATGGCGGCCTGCTTCTCCCGAGGGCTCTCTCGACGGGTGCCGGGGGCGGTGATGAGGACGGAGGCCCCTGAGAAGGGTGATATGCGCGGAGGAGTGAGGAGGTAGGAGAGTGGGGAAGTCACACGACGGATCCTACGCTTAGGTTTTTACAATTCTACGGCGAGGGTATGGACACTGGAAGTCACGGACAGGGGTCATCATAACATCGGAGGCCTGGGTATTACCCTCCAAGACGCTCACAGGGCCTTCGTTACTTTGTGCGAATATTTCACTCGAAGCGATTATTACTGCCTCCCTGTCTGTCTTAGGTGCACAAGGGGATGCCGGCATCTCCTTGTATCCTTGCTTGCCATGCACCGATGTCAGTCACGTCCATTTATTCACCGACTGCACGCTTGGCCGGTATGCGTGCCAAGAAACCGAAAATGATGGCCATGGACGCACTCTCCTTCACACTACATGCCTGCCCCAGGATAGATTCTACATCAACGTACCGACACGTAAGCCGCCCTTTCCCTCGCGCGGACCTAGAATCTCCAACGCTTCGCTGTAAAACTCCAAAGCTGCTCCGTAATCTTTGTATTTAGTAAACAATTGATTACCCTGCTCCCGGAGCCGCTGCGCCCTCTCTCGCCTCTCTTCAGCGCCTGTCCCACCCACTTTGCCTATCGCCACTCTCTCTGCATCTCTTCCTTCTTCGAACGGCTCTAAACCGAACAGTCGATCTAGAGGTACTTGCGCCTCTTCCTCCTTCCCTTCCGCCCAGTCCATCCCGTCTTGAAATAGAACATCCACGGTGTGCGGGCACCCCTCGTTGAGCGTGAGGATGGTCGCACGACAATGTCGCGAAGAGGAATCAAGTCCTAGCCGTACCCGGATCGTTTGGCCGATGGCACACATGGTGGCGATATTATTATCTGTGTCTGGTGATGCCATGTCTTTTTTGCTGGAATGTTTGTGTTGTTGCTGAATGAAAAAAAGTATGAGCAGGAGGCAGGAAGGTGTAACTCCGTGGCGACTGTAATTCGCCCACTCTGCCTGCTACCAACCATCAATACAAAGTTTTTTCAGAAAAAAATCAACCCGCATCGTTTCGCACAACGCAGGTGCACAGAGATGTACAAGCCTCGAAACTATTATGTCCACAGCATTGTCCCCTGGAACGGGGGAGGTCGAAGATGTTTTCGCGCAGTTTTTGCATATGCTGTTTTCGCGCAATTTTCGCAGAATATTTTCGCGCCATAATGACGGAGACCAGATGAGAGGTGTGACAGGCTTTCCCTCCTTTTCCTTGTGCGGTTCGAGTGCGAAGGCATTGTCGGGGGGGTTGCCACATTGTCCGCGTCACTCACATGCATCTATCTCTTTGGAATGCACAGGGAGCTGAGACGTGCAAGGCGGACGGACTTGATTGTTGGTGAGAGCCTCGCTGGTTTCTCTAGCGGCGACGGAGGAGGGCTGGAAGCTACAAGCTGCAGCCGCTTGTCACCACTAGACTCGTCATTCAAGGCGGCCGTACAGCAAAGCTTGTAATATATATATTTATACATATCAGCCATGGCGCGTATGAAGACGGCCAAGGGCACTCTCGGACGGGGAATTGTGGGCGGGAAAGGCACATCTCCAAGAAAAGGTGGGAGCACCAGGAGGAGGAGACCCGTTGAAAGCGAAGAGGGAAAATTTGTTAATACCCCCATCTTACGCCAAAATTGTCTCACTAATGCATGCATACGCTCATATGTCCTTCATCCCAACGATAGTGCCGAGAAAGCAAGCTTCACCAGCACGGGGAGGTGCAGGAGCTGAGAGAGGGAAGGACAAAGGAGGTGAGTGGCATGTATGAAGGAAACAGTACGGCAGGTGGAAAAAGATGCGCGCGACTTAGTCGGTCCTCTAACGTTTGGCTCCTCTGAAACTCGCCTGATGGGCTCAACCCCATTCCGTTCCTTTCCTTCCCCACCCTTTCCCTCCTTGTCAGACGAAGAGCCCAAAAAGCGTCGGGCGCGTCCCGGAATGCGGGCCTTGCGCGAGATAAGACAATACCAGCGGACAACGGAACTCCTCTTGCGCCGGCTGCCCTTCGCCCGTTTGGTCCGGGAGGTGCAGGGGGAGATTAGCACGAAGCAGTATCGGTGGCAGGCGAACTCCCTCTTAGCCTTGCAGGAAGCGGCGGAGGCCCATCTGGTCCATTTGTTTGAGGACGCGAACCTGTGCGCGATCCATGCCAAGAGGTAGGGGCGGGGGAGAAACGAGGGAGGATGGACGTTGAATGAGTGCCAGGCCGGCTGGGCGGGTCTTCTCTGTATGGAAGAGACAGAGACGAGGCGTGGCCAATGCCCTGTGGCTGGATTTTGAATGTTTTTAATTTTTGTAATTTTTATGGACAGGGTGACCATTATGCCGAAAGATATGCAGCTTGCAAGGCGGATCCGGGGGCCTCTACGGGAGTAGCTTTCTCCTTCGCCCCTTCCTCCGTCACGGCCTCCCTCCCTCCCTCCCTCCCTCCCTTCCTCCCTCCC